ATGAAGGGAATGAGGGTGGTTTACTACAATGTGTGTGGCATTGTGGGTCTTAGACATGAATGTTAAGACTCGTTGAATGAAGGAATGTTGTGCATCCGAACATTTTTCATGGAAATAGCGATAGATCTGCAAGAGGTTTGCAACATCTCATCTGTGAGAAAACAATGTAGGAGGGAAAATAATTTGTCACTTGCAAGGATGCAGAGATGCTACTGGACTATGTGAAGACACAAACAATGGCTTAGCAGATTAAAGCATTCATTCATGAGTTTGATGGCATAGTGAGATTATGGGTTCAATCCCTGGCTGGGTATTACAGATTCAAACTCTGTGAAAACAAGACTAGTAGTAACTAAGCATCACTAAAAAAGAATGTGATATCCCTGGACAGCAGAATAAGAAAAATCTACCCCTCTGGATTAAATAAATGCATAAGTTAAAAATACCCTGGATTGCTAGACACCTGGAGAAGACAGAAAAAGGCACAATGGTTGACACATTGTGATAGTAACAATAAAGATAAGGATATCAGTTCAAATTTAAATGACAAATGTCATGTTTGGTTTCATTTCATTCTAAATTGATTCAACTCTGTGAAAGTCACACAGATTTTAATGCTTTCAATGTATTTGAAAAAGAAATGGCCATGTTTAAATTTGGTGCAGGTCATGTAACATTTTAAAGTTATCTTCTATTGATAATCAGATAAAAGTAGGTTCTCAAATTCTCTGATGCCATCATAAATAACTTAATGAAGAGATGTTTAAATAATTTAATATCCTCTACTCACAGTATTTTATAACAAACTCAAAAACATAAAACATTAATTAACAATTTCCTTAGTTGCAATCTTGTAGAAAAAAAGTAATAATAAACAAAAGAAGAAGAGTAATAATAATGTAAAAACACTGTTAAACTATTCTACAGAAACTATTATGCAAGTATAGTTAAAGATGAATAAATAGTTTTGTTTATGAGTTTTTGGTTTATTTTTTTTTCTGTTTTTGGACATTTTCTGATATGAGTATTTTTGCTTTTTTATGGCCATGAACAAAAGCTTTTGTTTATAATGTGGCTATATATATATATATATATATATATATATATATATATATATATATATATATATATATATATATATATATAGTGGAAAATATACATACATATGCAAAATATATAAAAAATTCCCATACATGTATATTTTCAGAAAAAAAAAAAAAAAAAAAAAAAAAATTTCCAAGAGGAAGGATCCAGGTAGAACTCAATGTCTAGGACAGAGTAAGGATATAATAAAAGGCTTAAACACTAATATTCCATGGTCATAATTTATTCCATTGGAATCGTAAATCTGATCAAATCATCAGACCTACAAAGGTCTGATGATTTGAATCATATTATGACCATGGAATATTAGTGTTTAAGCCTTTTTATTATATATATATATATATATATATATATATATATATATATATGTCAGTTTTATCTTTTTTCAAATATTGCACCTGCATGTTATGTTGCCTTTTTAAAGTGTATGAAATTTAAGGTTGTATGTTGGTGTCTTGTAGGTATGTGTGTGTGTTCACATATAAACAAAGAAGCAGCAACAAAAACTTTGGTTCCTACTATGGACTGTTTATTCATTTTTTTTTTTATAGAACCTATAGGGAAACAAAGTTCAAATATCTCTTAGGTATGTTTGTTTTCTTTTTCTGGTCCAGGAGTAAGTTAGGGTAAGTAATAATAATTATAATCGTCGAGCTCAAGTCAACTTTGTGCTGAGTTGGAACAATCAAGGTAAAAGTTATATTTATTTTATTAGTGGAGCTTATATAAAATGCGCCGACATTATACATTGGAAAAATGGAAAGAGAGCGCAATTCTGTCATTTTTGGAAGTGGGGTCATAAAGTTGCAAAGATGACCAAAACCTTTTCTGATTCTTTTATTACTAGCATCGTGGGAAACCATGTGTAAGAGCTAGAATTCCAAATATTTATTTTTGAGCCATGCTGGCTCTCTTCTTGTGCAAGATTGGCAAAATTGATTCAGTAATGTAAATTCATACAGTTAAAAAAATCTTATATCCAAAAGATGTCTGCAAGTGTGTGTATATATATATAATTAAAAACAAAAATAATTTTTACACAGTTTTTGTGATATTGACAGTTATGATCTTATTCTTTTACCTTTTATTCATTTCTACTGACATAGTAGCTCTGTCTTCTTGATATTGAGCACTCTTTTTATCCTGACACCATGTCTTTCTGTGTCTTTGTGATCTGGCTCTGCAATTCTCTGTCTTAGATAAATAATTACCAGGCTACTATCTGAGGCTCTTCCTATTTTAACATGTGTATCTATTATTTTTGGTTGTGAGTGTATGTTGTTGCTATACACAGGTATGTTCTTTAAATTACCAATTAGTGTTTATTTTTAAAGTTGAATCAATTTGGCAACAAAATGAGTTCAAACTCAATGTTCATTTGTGTCTTAACATAAGTGCATGTTTGCAGTACATGTGTTGTCTGATGAAATTAGAATTAAACAATACTGAATGAACACAAGCAATAAACCTTTAACTGTTTGCACTGTCCATTTTGTACCATTTTCTTGTATGGAACTGGACATTTTGGAACAAAGGATTTTTCTAGTCCTAAGGAATTTAACTTTTACTACTTTGACTCATGGATGTGTGAGTAGTGTAGTGGTTATTGGTGCAGAAAATACAAGCAGCATACCAAGTTCAAATTCTGGCTTAGATTGTTTTCACTTTTGCACAAATACTCTTGGAAAGGTGTAAATCCGTTTCTTCTCTCTCAGAAAAATAGCATGGCAGACTTGATTCTCTAGCTTTAGTTGGCAACAAACCTAGGAGAAGGACAAATTGAAAACTGGTTGAGCATGAGGGCAACTCTATCCAATAATTAAAAAAAAAAAACAGAATAAAAAGAAACCTACTTTCTACAGAAAGATTATTAAAAAAAAACAAAATCCGTCACTACATTACTCCTATTGTTGTCAGTGAATCAGAAAATTATATATTCTAATGTTTCCAAATACTTTATACCTTAAAGGCTTTTAGAAGGTCTGCAAAGATAAGATGAAAAAAAAATTTCAAGCTCATCAATATGTGATCTTCAAGTAAAGGTTGGGTATTAATTTTGTGTTGCAAGCATAATAAGCATTTTTATCTTCATTGGATTTTGAATATCTAGAAAACAACAGAAAAAAACATATATCTTTTGTATTGATCCCCTTTAGTCATAAACCAATTCATTGTTTCTTGATCACAGAAGATTTTATGCATTTTTATTGTCCAGGTAAGGTAAAGGTAATGTTTCATTAGAAAGAAATTTTATTGATATTTAAATGATATATGAATTTTTATTGATATTTAAATGTTTAATGCAAATCCCCACCATATATATATATATATATATATATAGTGGGGGAAATAAATATTCGTACACATGAAAAATTGTATTTTTATAAATGTAAAAACCTTAACTAAAACAAATTTTGATACATTTTATGTAAAAATAGTAATACACTTAATTCTTATTCTAACAGAAATTAATGCATTTTTTTTATTTACCTGATGAAAAAGTATTCGTACAAATTAGCCTCGTCATCTGTGTCGTTTCAAGAGGAGTGGAGTCTTCCTTGGGATGCGTGATTTCAGACTGTTTTTGTGTAGTTCATTATTTATTGTACACTTGGTTGCTCTAATCCCTAATGCACGCAGATGTTCCTGCAGCTCTTCTCAGGTAACCTGTGGATTTTGTTGGATCTGGCATCCTAATATCCTTTCTGATCTTAGAGAAATCTTCCTCAAAGCACCTGTTCGTCTTTGGTTTTCGACGCTGTTACAGGTTTTAAACCTTGCAATGAACAAAGCAATTGTAGTAAAAGGAATATTCAGGTTGTTAGAAATTGTTCTGTAACTGTTCCCATCTTTCCAAAGAGACAAAATGTGTTGTTTTTTGTGAAATAGTCAATTCTTTACCTTTAGGCATTATTAGAACCTTCTCGTAAGACTAGAAATTGCAGAATGCTCTGATAATGGCTAATAGCATTCTGGAACATTCTAGAATATACTTTTTTCATAATTAATTGATTATTTTATAACTAATAATTGATTTGTATGAATACTTTTTTCACTGGTTAGAATTTTAAAAAAATGCATTAATTTCTGTTAGAATAAGAATTAGGTTTATTATTATTTTTTAATAGGATGTGTCTTTATACATAAAATGTGTTGAGATTTGATTTATTTAAGGCTTTTACATTCATAAAAATACAATTTTTCAAGTGTACAAATATTTATTTCCCCCCACGGTGTATATATATATATATATATATATATATATATATATAATATGTGGCCTCAATTTGCATAATTATCATGCAAACTGAAAGTATGCAAATGTTAGGCAATTTATATTCAATGTTTCACTAGAAACAAGGAAAATGATACAAAATGTTGAAAAAAATCCCTTAATAAAGAACTTTCATTGGTCTTGAACCAGACTTGAATAGATGAAAAATTGCTGCTCAAATACATACAATATGTATATAAGGTTCTGAAAGGGTGGTTACAACAATAGTTTCAAAATTCTGAATTTGAAAAGAGAGCGCTTTGAGGTTAGAATTGTAAAATTTGCAGTACCCAAGTGGCATTAAGGAAAGAGAAAAAACAAGAAAAAGAAACACTACTTCCTAATGAGAAAAAATACTGACATTTCGGGAGCTTAATGTCTCCACATTTATCTCTAATTAAGTTCTCATTGTGGTACATTTCAGTTTGGCCAGTTCTACCCAGCACCCCTGGTCAGGATCCCAGTTATTTTTCTGATTAGCAAGCTCATTGGTCAAACATTTTGTCACCATTTAGTTGACCCTTGTTTTCTGTATAAGGGTGTTCTTTTTAATTGCTTAAAAGATCCGATGAAAGCTGTTATGAAAGAACCTGAAGCATCTTAGTGTTTGTTCTTTAGCCCAATGCACTGTTCTTATGCACTTAGCAATACTCACCATTTTTTTCTTCATAAGATATTTGCTTTACTTTCTCTACACTCCTCCTCTTTGAATGTTTTTGTCTTATGCCTCATTTTCTTTCAATATTCCTTTGTGTATTTGTATTTTCTTTCATTTTTCTACTCTTCTGTCTTTTAGCACTTATATCTGACTTTGTTTTAGTTCTTACACCTCTGTCTGTCTCTTTTTAGCTCTTACACCTCTGTCTCTCTCTTTTTTAGCTCTTGCACCTCTGTCTGTCTCTTTTTTAGCTCTTACACCTCTGTCTGTCTCTTTTTTAGCTCTTACACCTCTGTCTGTCTCTTTTTTAGCTCTTGCACCTCTGTCTGTCTCTTTTTTAGCTCTTGCACCTCTGTCTGTCTCTTTTTTTTAGCTCTTACACCTCTGTCTGTCTCTTTTAGCTTAGCTTACACACCTCTGTCTGTCTCTTTTTTAGCTCTTGCACCTCTGTCTGTCTCTTTTTTAGCTCTTACACCTCTGTCTGTCTCTTTTTTAGCTCTTACACCTCTGTCTGTCTCTTTTTTAGCTCTTACACCTCTGTCTGTCTCTTTTTTAGCTCTTGCATCTCTGTCTGTCTCTTTTTTAGCTCTTACACCTCTGTCTGTCTCTTTTTTAGCTCTTACACCTCTGTCTGTCTCTTTTTAGCTCTTACACTGCTGTCTGTCTGGTTTTAGCTATGTGTTGAAATGTGTCACAAAAATAAAAAAATAAAAATTTGTCTCTCTCTTACTGTCATAGCGACGGGCACAGTCTCCACTTCTGAGACGAACCTCCCTCCTTCTCATTCCAGCCCTTTACATAGAGCTTGGTAACTCGCCCATGCAAGACACCAACAAGCCAGTTACCAATCACAGTTTCCGCACCTGCCCCCTCCACTCGCTTTGGGGGTGTCAAGTTAGCCAACAAACTCATTACAAGCTCTTATTCCTCTGTCTCTCTGTTTTTAGCTCTTATTCCCCTGTCTCACTTTGTTTTTAGCTCTTATTCCTCCGTCTCACTTTTTTTTTAGCTCTTATTCCCCTGTCTCACTTTGTTTTTAGCTCCTATTCCCCTGTCTCATTTTGTCTTTAGCTCTTATTCCCCTGTCTCACTTTGTTTTTAGCACTTATTCCTCTGTCTCTCTTTGTTTTTAGCTCTTATTCCTCTGTCTCTCTTTGTTTTTAGCTCTTATTCCTCTGTCTCTCTTTGTTTTTAGCTCTTATTCCTCTGTCTCTCTTTGTTTTTAGCTCTTATTCCTCTGTCTCTCTTTGTTTTTAGCTCTTATTCCTCTGTCTCTCTTTGTTTTTAGCTTTTATTGCCCTGTCTCACTTTGTTTTTATCTCCTATTCCCCTGTCTCACTTTGTTTTTATCTCCTATTCCCCTGTCTCACTTTGTCTTTAGCTCTTATTCCCCTGTCTCACTTTGTTTTTAGCACTTATTCCTCTGTCTCTCTTTGTCTTTAGCTCTTATTCCTCTGTCTCTCTTTGTTTTTAGCTCTTATTCCTCTGTCTCTCTTTGTTTTTAGCTCTTATTCCTCTGTCTCTCTTTGTTTTTAGCTCTTATTCCTCTGTCTCACTTTGTTTTTAGCTCTTATTCCTCTGTCTCTCTTTGTCTTTAGCTCTTATTCCTCTGTCTCTCTTTGTCTTTAGCTCTTATTCCTCTGTCTCTCTTTTTTTTTTTAGCTTATTCCTCTGTCTCTCTTTGTTTTTTTAGCACTTATTCCTCTGTCTCTCTTTGTTTTTAGTCTTTTCCTCTGTCTTTTTTTTTTTTTAGCCTCTGTCTCTCTTTTGTTTTTTAGCTCTTATTCCTCTGTCTCTTTTGTTTTTAGCTCTTATTCCTCTCTCTCTCTTTGTTTTTAGCTCTTATTCCTCTGTCTCTCTTTGTTTTAGCTCTTATTCCTCTGTCTCTCTTTGTTTTTAGCTCTTATTCCTCTGTCTCTCTTTGTTTTTAGCTCTTATTCCCCTGTCTCACTTTGTTTTTAGCTCCTATTCCCCTGTCTCACTTTGTCTTTAGCTCTTATTCCTCTGTCTCTCTTTGTTTTTAGCTCTTACTAGCAGTAGAGCCCGGCATTGCCTGGGAATGTAACAGTAAGAGATAGATCAAGTATTGACCATCATAAAGACTGAAAAATAAAATTGACAAAGATTATTGTTTAAGGCTGACGGACACGCATGTCTTAATTAGTTTTTTTGTTTCTTTTTTACGAATTGGTCAAACCCAAACCCAAACTCAAACAAAAACATTGTTTTCAATCGTTATGAGTCTATCGATTGAATAGAATTTTAATTTATAAACAATTGTCTTGTAAATGGAATTTTTAAAGCATTCTGAATGTAAAAATAAAGAAAAAAGTGTGCAAGACAATAAGAAACACTACCTGCCAAAAAAAAGTGAAGTTTTGTTGAAATCGGTTGAAAAATGTAGGAAATCCGATCCCATATATAAACGAACACACACACAAACAAATAAACTGGGTTTTTAACCCGATGTGAGTTATCCCTCTTTCATTCTCACGATGTCTCTTAATCATGTTTCCAAATTGATTTTGTGCAAAAACAATTGTGTTTTTCCCATTTTTGGCGCTGTTAGAACCACCACAAGGTAATTTTATGTAGTCCTGTGAAGTTTTGTTGAAATCGGCTGAAAAATGTAGGAAATCCGATCCAATATATAAATGTTACACACACACACACACACACACACACACACACAATCTGCATTTTATAAGTAAGATTCCTCTGTCTCTCTTTGTTTTTAGCTTTTGCGTCTCTGTCTCTCTTTCTTTTTAGCTCTTACATCTCTGTCTCTCTTTGTTTTTAGCTCTTACGTCCCTCTGTGTCTTTGTTTTTAGCTCTTACGTCTCTCTGTGTCTTTGTTTTTAGCTCTTGCATCTCACTGTGTCTTTGTTTTTAGCTCTTGCGTCTCTGTCTTTCTGTTTTTAGCTCTTACACCTCTGTCTGTCTCTTTGTTTTTAGCAGCTTACGTCTCTGTCTATCTTTGTTTTTAGCTCTTATGTTTCTCTGTGTCTTTGTTTTTAGCTCTTACGTCTCTCTGTGTCTTTGTTTTTAGCTCTTACGTCTCTCTGTCTTTGTTTTTAGCTCTTGCTTCTCTGTGTGTCTTTGTTTTTAGCACTTACATCTCTCTGTGTCTTTGTTTTTAGCTCTTACGTCTCTCTGTGTTTTTGTTTTTAGCTCTTACGTCTCTCTGTGTCTTTGTTTTTAGCTCTTACGTCTCTCTGTGTCTTTGTTTTTAGCTCTTACATCTCTCTGTCTTTGTTTTTAGCTCTTGCTTCTCTGTGTGTCTTTGTTTTTAGCACTTACATCTCTCTGTGTCTTTGTTTTTAGCTCTTACGTCTCTCTGTGTCTTTGTTTTTAGCTCTTACGTCTCTCTGTGTCTTTGTTTTTAGCACTTACGTCTCTCTGTGTCTTTGTTTTTAGCTCTTACGTCTCTCTGTGTCTTTGTTTTTAGCTCTTACGTCTCTCTCTCTGTCTTTGTTTTTAGCTCTTACGTCTCTCTGTCTTTGTTTTTAGCTCTTGCTTCTCTGTATGTCTTTGTTTTTAGCTCTTACGTCTCTCTGTGTCTTTGTTTTTAGCTCTTACGTCTCTGTGTCTTTGTTTTTAGCTCTTGCTTCTCTGCGTGTCTTTGTTTTTAGCACTTACATCTCTCTGTGTCTTTGTTTTTAACTCTTACATCTCTCTGTGTCTTTGTTTTTAGCTCTTACGTCTCTCTGTGTCTTTGTTTTTAGCTCTTACGTCTCTCTGTGTCTTTGTTTTTTGCGTGTCTGTCTCTGTCTTTCTTTTTAGCTCTTATGTCACTGCCTGTTTGTCTGTCTCATGTTTCCTCTGTCTTTGTTCTTTTTCCTCTCATGTCCTTGCTTTCATTTGCATTTTATATTTCCCAATTTGTCATTACTCTTCCATTTCTCTCCATGCTATTTATTATTCTTCTTTCTCAATGTTCTTTTTTCTTTCTCTCTTTATTTTCATTATTTTGTTTCTCATTTTCCTTTACTTTCCACATTACTTCTTTTTCTCATTTATGTTTTGACTCTTAAGAGCTTTCTCTCTCTCTCTTTCTCTCCCCCTCCCTCTTTTGTTTTTTCCCTTTCTCCTTTTTCTTTCATGTACTGAACAGTTATAGTCATAAAGTTCATGTCTTATGAAAAAAAAAAGAAAAAGATTTCTTCTCCCCACTCTCTTCTTTTTATTTATTTATTGTTGCGTGGGTATATACTAAGCTTTGTTTTGTTTATTCAGAACAGTTATAAATGTAAAAAGGTAGGCTTGAGTAGAAGATACAAAATTTGCTTAGTGTTTATTCATAGTGACTAAGAAAAGGAAATAAATTACTAGTTGAGATGTTTGAGGAACTGGATTATTAGCTTGTGTAGAGCTTCGGATTCGTGAAATTTGTTTTAGTAAGAAAATAAATATATTTCTAGAGAATGAATAAAAAAAATATATTTTATTACTGATCAGAAAAGATAAAGTCTAAAATTTTCTTGTGGTCCCCTTTTTGTTCAGATTTGTGCTTGTAAATATAGCTTCCTTAAAAGCTACCTTGTAAATTTTTTTTTCTTTGTTCATCTTTCAGACATGACAAGAGTACTGATAAAGAGAAATAAATGATTCTTATCTTTCTAAATATTTGACTATATGGTAGAGAGAAGAGTTTTTCTTTCAGCAGAATTAAGAGAGGACATGCTCACAGTTCCCATATGGTGGCAAAAATGTACAAATTGAAGATAAATTTTTCATCTTTCTAATTTTTTTCTCTTGGCACATTTTAACAGAAACCTCTCTTTAAAACCATTGTTTTTCTCACTGTCTTAAGTAGATTGAACTTTGCTCTGAAGAATAATGACATCCAATGTCAATATTTGCATTTGATTTTGTTATGAACAAGAAAATCACAAAGAAAAGCATTCACTCTTCTCATCAAGTTTAATATGAATTTTGTATCTAAAATTGTACTGTCTTCACATCTCTCTTATGCTGTATATGCTTTAATATAGTGTTTTTATGATCAGTTTTTTATGCAAAATTAGGAGGTTGCACTATACACAGGTAAATATTTCTTGAGAAGTTAATATTAATGCATTTTTGGTGACTGTAACCTACTTGGTAGACATACATTCTCATAGTACCTTTGGCTAACCTTAATGGTACAGGTAAACACCTTTAGCCTGCATCCTGTAGTCTAGATTCTTTCTTTCTGTTGTTATATGAACAGTGTTTTTCTTACCATTTTTGGGTAGCTTTGTGCCAAAAAGAACGAAGACCATTTATTTGCTATAAAATATGTCCAGGATAATACCCAGTACTGCAAAATTTAACTATGGTAGGCCTACTAGTAATGCACATAAGCTGGGGTCATATTATACATGAGCTATATGAAAATCAGGGGTCACACTATACATGAATTTAGTTTATACACAAGTTTATATGGTATAAAGTTAAGACTGGTATGTAACAAGTTTTCACTTGTAGTATTACTGGTAATATTATTTTTAATTTCTTACCAATTATTATTATTATTATTATTTTTTAACTCTTATTCCTTTCAGTTTAATCTCATTTTCATTGAAGAATGTGAGTACAAATCTTACTGTATGCTATTCTTTGTTATTGATTCATGTTGCTTGATAAGGCCAGCTGAATGGAAGTTTGAGAATTGTAGTAAAAAGCAATTGAAATTAAAATGAAAGAAATCCTATTCCAAAGATTAATAACAACTGACAATGCTTCATTTGAAAAATATAAAAAGTAATATACTAATAATACTCCTAGTGTATGTAAATAAAGATGGCAATGTATCGAGCATCTATATAGGTAGATCTGAATTACTGTCTGTTGAAAGACTCCACTAAGATACACTTTATGAGGAAGAAGTATGCAAGTCCAAGTTTTATTGGAGGCTTATTATTAATTTTTGAGAGTGTGGCAGTTGTAATGAAAATTAAATTTTTTTTTTTATCATTTCACCCCAAGTAAGGTGATAAAGCCTCTAAGACACAGAATATTATTGGGAGTGAAAGAGAATGAAAAGACTTTAGTGAGGAGAAAGAACAATAAAGGAACAAGATTCAGGGAAACAAAAAAATGGTGATTGGCATTGCAGTTAAATCTTTGAAGATTGTAGGTAGTAGGAAAGCAAGAAACTGGGAGATAGTTCTGCAGGTGAGAAAATAAACTATTAGAATAGAGCCTACAGTTCCTTCTAGCTAGTTAAAACAGTGAGACCATGTAGTCAAGGTAACAAAAAAGCAAGCTTATTAGAACAATTGCCATAAAAATATTTATAGAAAAGATAGAAGGAAGCAGTGTTAAGGCAGTGGGAAAGTTGAGATGACAGGTTAGGACTGATAATATTGCACATCTTTCTTTGATTTTATCAAGAATCTTGAGATATATAGCAGGAGTACAAGACCAGATATGGCAGCAATATTCAATGCATGGACAAATGATAGATTTTTAAATGTGCAAGATAGATTCCGATGAGAAAAATTCTCTGGCATGGCACAGTGAACCAACTTTCCTAGCAGTAGACCTAGCAATTCAGTATAATCACTCCATGTCATATTAGCGGAAAACATGAGCCCAAGAAGGTTCAGAGAGTTGCTCTCCTGGAGGTTAGCATCAGCCATACTGATGAAAAGCAGAAAAGGTTATTTATGGTGATTAAAAGGTGAGTAGGTTTGTTTTGGAGATATTAAAATTTACAATTCATTCTTTGCCCCAGTGATTGCCCATCTCCCCCCCGACGCCCTTCTCCTCCCCCCCGACGCCCCTCTCCTCCCCCCTGACGCCCATCTCTCCTTCCTCCCCCAATGCGCATCCCCGATGCCCATCTCTGCTCCCCCGATGCCCATCTCTGCCCCCTGATGCCCATCTCTCCTTCTTTCCCCTCGATGCCCATCTCTCCTTCTTTCCCCCTCATGCCCATCTCTCCTTCCTCCCCCCATGCCTATCCCCCCGATGCCTATCTCTCCTTCCTTCCTTGCCCCCCCGATGCCTATCTCTCCTTTTTTTTCTCCACTAACAACTATATTTCCTTTTTTGTTCCTACTAACGACTATATCTCTTTTTCCAAAACTTTTGTTTACCCCAACGGCTATATTTCTTCTTTCCCCCCCACCAACGGCTATATTTCTTCTTTCTCCCCACCAATGCCTATATCTTTTACCTCCTACAACAGCTATATCACTTACCCCCCACGGCTGTATGTATTCCTGCCCAATGACTATAGCTCTTTCCCCCAACAACTACATTTTTTTTTGCCATTAATGAATATCTTTTTTCTACTCCAACTACTCTCTTTTTCCAAAACAACTATATCTCTTTTGTTTTTACTCCAACTGCTATATTTCCGCCCCCCACCAATGGTTATATTTCTTTTTTACCACCAACAGCTGTATTTCTTCTTACTCCCATCCCAACAGTTATATCTCTTACCCACCAAAGACTATATCTCTTTTTACCGTCCCAACTACTATATCTCTTTCCCCCCCCACCAATAACTATATCTCTTTTTCCAAAACAACTTTTTTTTTTTTTTTTTTTTTTTTTTACCCAAACCACTATATATTTTTTATATCTCTTTTTTCTTTCTCTCTCCTAACGGCTATGTCTCTTTTTCTTTCTCTCTCCTAACGGCTATGTCTCTTTTTCTTTCTCTCTCCTAACGGCTATGTCTCTTTTTTTTCTCTCTCTCCTAACGGCTATGTCTCTTTTTTTTCTCTCTCTCCTAACGGCTATGTCTCTTTCTTTTTTCTCTCTCTCCTAACGGCGGCTATGTCGTTTCCCCCTCCTAACGACTACATCTCTTTTTTTTTTTTTTTTCCCTCCGCGACAACTACTTCTCTTCATCCCCCCCCACCATGACAACTAAATCTCTTTTTCTCCCCAAACACTATATCTCTCTTTTTTTTTTCCTTTAATGCCTATACTTCTTTTCATTCCACCACTACTTTGCTTTCTTTTCCCCCCTGCCTCTCTCTTCCTTATTATCCCTTTTTAGATTTACACCATCTTTTTATTTCTCTCTCTCTCTACTCTCATTTTTCTCTCACATTTTATGCAATGTCTATTGTTTTGATTATTGTCTTATTTTAATTTATTAATCCTTTGTAATCTTTCTTTTGCATGAATTTGCTCTCCTGTAACTTGGGGCAGAGTTGGGGAAAGCATCTTATTTAGATGGTGTAAGAATATACCTTTCATATCTTTTCAATTTCAATTTTTTTTATTTCAATATAAATATGCTCGTTCTATACAATAATTTGAAACTCACATGTGCTCTTTCTTTCTTAAATGTAAATACACCCACACAATCTTGACATTCAATCAATACACACATTCTCACCTTCTCTTTTCAATATAAATATGACGATATGAACTTGCTATCACATACATTTGAACACACTACCATCTCTGGGGAGGGGTGGTTATTTTTTCAGTATAGGCACATGCATTGACTGTCTTTCTAAGAATATAAATGTATGCCTGAACACACACACACAATCTCTCAACACATATAGACAGGTGCAGTTTTCTTTGTTTGTGTGTGTCTCTCTCTCTCTCTCTCTCTTTCCAATACACTCTCACACATTCTCTTTCTTTCTACTTTTATTCAGGTTGCATACTTCAGTTTTAATCGATATACTCATAAACATACAATTCCCTTTCTCTCCTCAACACACAGACACACACACACACACACATATATATATATAAAATTATTTTCCCATAACACAGTTGTTATGATAACTAGGGGTGGCAATGGTGGTTATTATAGTCATGTCAAAAGCATTTCTCTGTTGGCTTAAGTGATTGATGGGACTTCTACACAAAAGTGTGATAAGAACCCTCAGCACCAGCAGAGGGAACAGGTTGTAGATGATATAGAGCATGTCAGCCATGATGTCTCTTCAACAAATATATATATATATATATATATATATATATATATATATATATATATATATATATATGTGTGTGTGTTATCTGTTGGCTGATATTCAGGTTGACATCTGTGTTTCTCCCATGAAGGTTTACTAAGTCAATCTTGCTCAAGTCTGTGACTCAATAATATACATTATATTGTATTTTTTTAAATTTGACATAGTTTATTATAAATCTTATTCAATTCTCCAAAAATGATAAAGCTTTATTACCTTTTTGTAAAGACAGTTGTTGACTGGCTAATTCTAATTTAGGTATAAATTCAGTTTTAAAGTACCATAAGATAATAATATATTATGTTCTCTCTGAATTTCTGGGATGAGGAGTTTTCATTTACATGTGTACTATTGTTCTCATCTTTTTTGTTGTTATCACAATGTTTTTCACACACAATTGTCCCACTGGACAATAGCTTAGTGGATTAAAGGGTTTGTTCATGAATTTGATGACATCGTAATTGTACATTCAATCCCTGGCCTGGTAGTATGATCTTGGATCAGTGGAAATGAGCTGAGCAATAACTGAGCAGTATAAAATAAGAACAAGGCAAAAATATCCTTAGACAATCTACCATTTAGACTAAAGAAAGTGTTCAGCAAGAAATTGCCTCTAGGCTAGCTGGATTGACATACACTTGATGAAGGCCAGAGGGCACAATGGCCAAAATGTGATAATAACAACAAAGATGAGGACAGTAGTCTGCATGTAAATAATGTATGTTCTGTTTTTGTGCAGGGAGCTCATTTCTTTCAAAGTTTAATGAAATTACAATATATTATATTTTTTAATGTAATATTTTTTTACAAGGCTTGTTTAGGTACCTCCACTTTTTCTGCTAAAAAAGATCATACCATGATGGAAAGAGGCCTCAAACTTGATGAAAACAAAGTTTTACCATCAAAATGCTTTTTAGTAATAAGATGAAAAACCAAAATTTTTTTTTATTATTTTATTAAATTTTTTAATCCTTGTAGCATGTTCAAAAAATTTTAGTTAAAAATTGAAAATTCTTGCAAAAATCAAATACATGTCAGATTTTAATGAGACTTTTCATCACAAATGAATTAAATTATTTTATAAATTTATTTTATTTTTTTTTTTTTTTTTTAGAAAATCTTGTTAGAAATATTATACTTAATGAAATTTTGGGAAATTAAATTTTGTGCCATTTCATATTTATATTAGGTAAAAGAAGGTCTCCTTGGAGAATGTAAATCATCAATTTCTTTCTTTTTTTAAACAGTTATTCATTTACTGAAAATCTGCTCTGAATTGTAAAATAAAAATAATGGAATCAAACTAAGACATTATTTCATGAGAAAATCTTTTAATTGTTTTTATGAATAAAATGTATTATGGACACTATTGTCTTAAGAAAAAAATTTTCTATGAATAATGAATTTTTACAAGAATAATTTTTTCTTTTTTTTTTTTTTTTTTTTTTAAATTTTAATTAGAATAATTGATAAAGTTTTAAATTCTTTTAAATTTCAGTACAAGTTTTTAAATCTTTTAAATTTATACACTGGTTAGGTGATATTGTTATTAAATAAAAACTATATTTACTAATCATAAATTGAAAAGCTTGCACCATGCACCTATATTTTTAAAGGGATTTAGAATTTTTATTTATATGTACAGTGTAACCCGGATATAAGAGAGTTGTCGGGACCGGAGAAGAAGTCTCTTATATCCGGGTTTGGTCTATTTTATATACATTAACACAGGCTCTAATTTGAGACCAGAGAAAATATCTCTTATATCCGGGTTTCTCTTATATCCGGGTCACACTGTATAAACATGCCAATTTTCTATTATACAGTGGACCATATATGACATTATTAGAAAATAAGAGAGATAGCTATAGTAAATTTACAGCCAAAAATATTTAAAATTCAATAAAACATTAAATTACAGAGAATATTTTAACGTTTTAAGATTACTGAGTACTTAAAAACTATATATAGAAGGTTCTCACATTAATTCAATTACTTTTTTAACAACTAAAGACCCCCCTCCCCCATAGAACAACATTAGATAAATATCAGTCAGTCAACAAACTGTCAAGCCTGTAAACGCCTTAAATAAACAGCCACTGCTGGGTTGAAAAATTCATTTTTTGATATTTTAAACTTAAAGTAAATAATATTTGTTTCAAGTCAGAATAATTATACTTTAAATCAGTTAATATTCCTTAAATAAAGTTTCAGAAAAGTATACTTTATTTTTGGAAGATTTTTTTAATAAAAAGAATTACATTATGTTGAAAGATGACTAAAAAAGGACAATAATCAAATTTTTTAGCAAAAAGAACCAACCTCCTACTCAATTTAAATTAGTTTTTGAAATGCAGCAAAGTATTTTGTGTATTAGAAAAATTTAATCTATTAGCATGAAATTAAAATAAAAGCTTCACAAAAGAATTTTCATTTTTAAAAATTAATTTTAAACATTAGATATTGTTTTTTTTTTTTTTTTTTTTTGGAGGTGACAAAATTTACTGTTGATTTTTTTTAAAATGAGCTTTCAAATATTTAAAATTGACTCAATATTCAATCTTTTTAATGAATTAATCTGAGATGCGACTTTTCCTTTGAAACTAATGCAGCTTTCCACCTGAATTAAGATATTGTACAATATTCTTTAGACAAATCATTCTTCTTTCCTGTATATGGTTTTGTCTTTGATGATATGGTTGATTATGCTTCTCTACAACTTCCTGTCTTTTGTTGCTCTTTTACTGTCACTCTTTGTGATTCCTTGTTAAGCCATCATTTTACTCAAACTTCTCAATGAGGATTATTCACCGTTTTTCTTTGATTCTCTTATTTTCAGTTTATTCTGTGTGCTTTAAATTCTCCAAGCATTCTTTTTTCATTATGTGTTCTAAATATTTATTTTCTCTGATTGTTATCAAGAATTTTTTTGTAGCTGCTATTCTTGTTAAGACTTCCTCATTTGTCACATGTCCTATCCGCAATACTCTCAGCATGATGTCTTTTTAAACAGAATGAAGTTTAGTTTCATTTAGAAAGTAAAGTTGAATATTTTTTTAGAAGGAATAAAATGGTAAAACCCCTTTCAATTCTAGTGAATATTACATATACTTATCAAGGATATTTTCTTTACCAGTTTATCTGTGCATATTTTGTTGACTACCTACCATTAATATTTTTTCACATATTCGTCTTTAAATATAATTTTTCCTCAATTATGAGGAGGTGCAGAAAAGTTCTTGGTTCAAACTGCTTTCCAAGATTTGACAAAAGGACCAAACATAAGATTTTTTTTGAATCCCTTCTTGGTCAAACTGAGAACTTTCAGCACCTCCTTCTATGATTTCTATCTGAATTGAAACAGGGTGAGCAATAACTTAGCAGTACCAAATAAGAACAAGATGAATATATATGAACAATGAGATGAGAACTATCTGCCCCAGTAGATTAAAGAGTTTGGTTTGAAATTTTCTGAAGAGTGCGATAGCTGAAACATTACAAGAAATATGAGGACATTAATCCAAATGTAAATAGTGTAAATCAGAATATTTCTTTAGAAT